ATCGCATAATTACATAAACCGAAACGATTTAGAAACGATCACCACATGTTATTTTGAGTACAGCAGAGTTGTTTTTATAAAATGCATTGAAATTCAAGGTGCATATATTGATCTTACTCAACAATTCTTTTTTTCTTTTAGTTCTGTAGAAACCAAGATTTTTACAAAAATGTTAGTATCACATTTTTGATGCAATAAATGTATGCTGTTCAAAACATTTGATTTTCTTATAAACGGTACGAGATACCTACTGAGATACGGTATACCTTTTTTTTAGCAAGGTGAGAGAGGAATCGAATTGTGAAAGAAAAATGTCAAATTTGAAAACGCTGTCAAAGATGTACAAATTTAAATGGATAATTTCGTCTGCTCCTGTATAATCCAGGCTATTGAATATCAGTTTAAACTTCGAAATGAATATTACCATGAGTTACTTTAATTGCCCAAATTTCATTGTCGTCATGGTATTGACTTAGAAGTTATAATTGGATTTATTTTTCAAACTTCTTTCTTTGAAGACGGATAATTCCACAACGAAGCTCGATAGGAAAAAAATGTTTATGAAGTACTACAACTGTTTTGAACTCCCCTGTATACCCCTTCATTTCTGACATGACCTTTCCGAACACCCTGTCTTGTAAAAAATTTCATTTAAACAAAAAATTATCTCTTACATTTTCGTCAAAGATTGCGATCCAACTGAGATATTGAAGAAAAGCAAATAAAAAAGCATTTTGGCAAAGTAAAATATTGGGGTTTATGGAAAATGACCATAATCGCGATGTTTCGGATCTTAGGAATGGTTTCATGAAAAAATATTCCTTTTCCTTAAAGTTTATCACAACAACGCTGTTACACCCCATTTTCGAGTAAATTATTGGATGCAGCTAATTCATTAAATGAATATTAGAAGATAATATTGTTTAAATTTGTTAAGTTTAGATATCGCACTTGCGGTTATGGAATAAACCAATATCTAAAAATGTTGATTGCCTTATAAAAATTTATCCTCACGGAAACCGTTACATTATCAATTAAACTTTTTATAAATAAATTGTTTTAAGTAAGTTGCAGGATTAACGACAGTGATAATTTAACCACATTCTGATTAAGCCACCTGCTGTGTTGGACTTTCTTACATCATTAATACATTTGAAACAGATTTTTATTTGTTTTAAACAGTAATAAAATAATATTGCTTAAATCTTGAAAAATATTACCTCGTTTGATTTTTTAGAAATACATATTATCCGATTTGTACAGCACCTTTTCTATACGTATTTCAGAAAATGTCATTTCAGTTTCATCTTACAATTAGTAAATTTGTTTTACAGAATTCGATATTAAATGACTTAAATAAAACTGGTAATTGGAACATAAATTTTAAGCAAAAAGTTTCATATAAACAAATATCCGGAAACTCTTAATAAAAAAATACAATGTAAAAGTTATAATAAAAAAAGTTTGTGCATCGGAGTTTTCAAAGATATTTAAACCAGATTTTGGTACACGGTACAAAAATAGATGGCCATAAAAAGGGATAATATTAAGTTTATAACTACCAGTGGCGGAATTATGGGCAACCAGTGACATTAANTGAGGCGACGGCTTTATCGATTCTAGTCCTACTAGAAAATGTGGATGTGGATAACTTCACACCCGTGTAGTATTAAGTCATATACTCTTACAGTGTCTAAAATGATTAGGAAAATTTTCCTATCCGGCTCTTAGTCTATAAGAAAGTTTATGCAAAAGACATTATTTTGGACTTTAATGAAGTTCCTTAAAATAATACATACCTTTTAAAAAAGTGTTGGTTAAGATTGTCATGTAAAGTTAAAGAAATGAGTCGTAATGCATTGCCTACAACTGCTAATAACAAAAAAAACATAAACAAAATTACTGGCCATCATTTTGTATTGTATTTATTTTTATCTTATAATATAATAATAATATAAACACAACAATCGTTTCCCTAAGAATTTACTGCAAGAATCTCTATCAAATCTATTGCTAACATGTTTCACCTATGAAATAATCATGGTCGCATCTCGTTTATTTATTAGAGATAGATGAATAGATCTTAAAATCTTTGCAATTCTAATGCTTTATTTAAAAAACCACATATATAGAAAAAATCGTAGAAAAAATATTCATAGTTTTATGCAAACATTTTTATTTAGTTTTCGTTTTATAGTTTTCATTTCAAATATTTGGTTCAAATAATAAATAGTTATTACTAATTTATTTATTTTTGTTTAAATTAGTTTTCGAATGGATATTAAAGAACTCAGTTTAGATTGTATCTATTGAAATTGTATGCTTTTTTACATTAAAGAAACAATAGAACACTGGAACACATTCAACAAACACAGTGGCGGCTTTTGTTAATGAAGCATGCGACCCATGCTATGTTTTAGAGAATGATTTCTATGCTCACATAGAGAATTTTCGTGACTCGACGTGACGTGACGTGACGTAAATTAACAAAGTTAAAATCCGCGGCAATTTTGTTTCGAAAACTTCATAAAAAGTCGTGCAACTTTTGTGTTTCACATTTTTTTAAAACTCTAAAAACAAAAAGTTTAATGGGAGGGGTTCAAAATTGAGTGAATCACACTGTACCACTCTTTTCGAGATCGCAAGGTCGGCAATTGCTAATTTAATTTTTATTTCAAAAATTTCGTTCTAAAAATTTTTCTGAAATTTTTTCTTAGTGAAAGTTTTCTTTGTGAGCCTATAAATTCATTCATTCATTATCAAAATTTGGCCACTTCACTTCAAAAGCCGCCACTGTCATCAAGTCTTTAGGTGCAGTTTTAAATAAACTTTTCAGTTATTAGTCCAGTATACAACGGTAAAAATAGGGTACCTATTACCTCCGAATTCTTGACACACGCACCTATTTTCATGAAAATTGGTGAGTAAGCTCATTTCACCCTCCTTTACAAAAGTTACATATCCATAATGTGTGCTTATTGTTTTTAGAGGGTGAAAACTACCTCTTCTTGCAAAAAACTTAAAAACCATAGATTTAAGTGTTATGTCAATAGAATAAGCATTCTTTTATGTTTTGAATAATAATTTTTGATTTGTAGCAACATTTCAACCCTTAAAATCCACCTTTTATGAGGAAAAAAAACAAAAATTAGTTTTTGCACCTCTGAAATGTTTTGACGGAGCAATAATGAAGAATTGAATATTTTTACAGTTTATAAAATAATACATGATTTATTGCAGCGTTTCAACCCTTAAAAACCACCCTTATTGCAATAAATAAAGCAACAATTTTTTTTCACATCTTCATAGCATTTATAATGAATGAAAGACTTATCACTGTTTATAATATTACTGATGATTCATTGCAACGTTTCAACCCTTAAAAACAACCCTTAATGAGGAATTGAAGAATTTTTACCTACTTCAAAACACTCCACGAAACATTACTAAATTCAACGAGATTACTTAAAACTCGAACTTAAATTATGTAATTAGTGAAAGGGAAAATAAAAATTATTTGTGTATTATACAATTATACAAAGAACTATCATCACTGTCGACTTTCTCTGTTTGGACATGTGCGTGTGTGTGTTTGTGCGAGTATTACGCCTCGGAAACTATTGGAAATTAAGCCATTTACATGATCCGACAATTTTCACTGAATATACCATTCGTTTTTTCACGATAACTTTTTAATTTTTAATATTTTTCATCGCTCCAAAAAGCAATTTGCAGGGAACTGCAAGAGCTACAAATCAACCTTTATAGTGGAAGAGTCTTGAACTCTTCGTTTTCGAGATTTTTAGGTTTTAAGGGCTCAAAGAAGGTGGTCCTTACACGCAAATGCAAACTAAAAAACGTAATATCTCAGTTAATTTTTGCTCTACAGAAAAATTGAAGAGAGCAAAAATATTACAAAAAGGCCTTTAATTTTGAACTCTTACATTTTTCACGTATCTTGTTTAGTTTTTGAGTTATTTTGAAAAAAAGGAAATTTTTTTAAAAATTAAAAATAATTTTTTTTTTCATTACTTATTTCAAACTTTTTTTTTTAATTTAGGCATTCTAAACCGGTCAAACTTGCAGAGCCTATTATTAGTACCTAAATAAAGTCAACTGTACATAGATTACGCTTAGTTTCTATTTTTATGGTTCAGCCATAGATTTTATTGTTGATATTTTCTCCGAAAAAAATGAGATGACCATTTTATTTTCATCATAACTCCGCGAGTTTTTGAGCTACGAAATTTTTTCAAAAAGCATTTTAAAGGTTTCTAAAAAGGTTATATTAATTTTCTTCGAAAAATTAGTTCTTTCGCCATTATTTTACGGTAAAAGGTTCGATTTTACTTTCCGAAACATAAACAATCACCTTTAGAGAGTGATAACTCGGTTATTATTACATCTACGNAACTTAACAAAACGAAAAACCGAAACCGTCTGGCAAATGAAAATTTGGAAGCAATTATACGTGTGGCTACAAGTAATGTGGAGCCAAATATAAAAAAACTTGTTAGTTCAATGCAATGTCATGCATCAAAATAATAAAACATGAAATATTACATTGTAATGATTACATAATTATTACAACAAACATTTTTGAAGGTTATTTTATTTTTATCATTGTATTTCATACTATTTAAAAATAAAAAATTTTGTGTTAATAAATATTGTTTGTAGTGGCCCGTCCTTGGCTTATATTTTTTTCCCGAGAGGCCCCTGTTCCCTATAAGTCTGTGCATCCCTGTTTTATATAGTGGACCTTTTGATTTAATATTATTGTTTTGAACATTACTGACAAAATGTTCCATTTTATTGCACTAAACATAGTTACTTATATGTATAATTATGCATAATACCAAATCATCACTTGGTATTTTAATCAAATATTCGTTTTCCGTTGCTTGAATAATCCCCAAAGATATAAATCAATTATAGTCAATATCGATTTAAAGAAATAGCGGTCAAATATAGAACTGTCGTTAGAAATAATGATTTTTTCAATGAAAATTTATCAAACAGCTCCACATGTTAACGTTGTTTAATAAAAAGGAAATAAGCACTTGCCTTAATTTTTTCTCCAGCTTCTCCTGTTCCTTCTGCAAAAGCTTCTTATCGGCAACGGTGAATGAATTTGGTCGCGAGTTTTCCGCAGAACTGCATCTAGAATCAAAAATTGTGTTTTAGAAACAAGANCAAATTGACCCACAGCCGACCTGGAGCTCAGGAACGCCGATGAACGTCATCTCCGTGGGACTCTCCCAAAATTCACGCGGGGAAGGAGAGAAACTCGGCGCCCGGGAGTTTTTTGGGTCGCTGAATTCAAATATGGCATATCGGCAAATTCAAATATTCAAATATCGGCAAACACCTGGTGCACCGGAACCTGGACATGGACATCATCTCCGAGAGTTTTCCTGACAAGATTGCCAAAGCAACCCGAAAATCATTGTTGGGGCGTTTCTTGGGGCGCTGAATCCAAATTTCACGTCGAAAACGATCCCCTGAACACCTGGTGCATCGGAACCTTTATCTTGACATCGATGTCATTCCCATGGATGTCAATCAAACCTGATGTCTTAGAGACTGACGTCAATACTGCAATAGCTGTGTGGAATTGTTGATTCTAGTTAAATTATGTGAGGAGGAAAGAAGAAGAAAGGAAGATTTTCGGTTAGTTTTTTGCGATCGTGTTTGGAAAACCCTCGTAGACGACGTTCAGGCCGAGGTTCCGGTGCACCAGGTGTCCGGAGGTACGTTTTCGGGGTGAAACCTGGATTCAGCGCCCCAAAAGAAACCCATAACGATTTTCGGTTTGACTTTAGCGATCGTGTCTGGAAAACCCTCGGAGACGACGTTCAGGGCCCAGGTTCCGGTGCACTAGGTGTTCGGGGGATCGTTTTCGACGTGAAATTTGGATTAAGCGCCCCAAAAAAACGCTCCTACAATGATTTTCAGTTTGTCTTTAGCGATCATGTCTGAAAAACCCTCGGAGATGACGTTCAGGCCCAGGTTTCGGTGCACTAGGTGTTCGGGGAATCGTTTTCGACGTGAAATTTGGATTAAGCGCCCCAAAAAACGCCCCTACAATGATTTTCGGGTTGTTTTTGGCGATCTTGTCAGGAAAATTCTCGGGGACGATGTCCACGTCCAGGTTCTGGTGCACCAGGTGTCCGGGGGATGTTCGCTGATGCCACATTTGAATTCAGCGACCCAAAAAACCACCGGGCGGCAAGTTTCTCTCCTTCTCCGCGTGAATTTTGGGAGAGTCCCACGGAGATGACGTTCAGGGCCAGGTTCCGGTGCACCAGGTGTCCGGTGGTGTTCGCCGATGCCACATTTGAATTCAGCGACCCAAAAAACTCCCAAGCGCCGAGTTTCTCTCCTCCCCGCGTGAATTTTGGGAGAGTCCCACGGAGATGACGTTCATCGGCGTTCCTGAGCTCCAGGTCGGCTGTGGGTCAATTTGAACAGCATAATCGTGATCAGCGACCTCGAAAACCTCCGGGAACCCGATTTGGGCCAGTTCTGACTCTTATTTACAAAGTTATTAAATCTTCCAAAAGCCGTCTCAAAAAATGAATCTTTTGAATGCATTTTTGACTGCAGCAAAGCAATTTNCAAGAGCTACAAATCAACCTTTATAGTGGAAGAGTCTTGAACTCTTCGTTTTCGAGATTTTTAGGTTTTAAGGGCTCAAAGAAGGTGGTCCTTACACGCAAATGCAAACTAAAAAACGTAATATCTCAGTTAATTTTTGCTCTACAGAAAAATTGAAGAGAGCAAAAATATTACAAAAAGGCCTTTAATTTTGAACTCTTACATTTTTCACGTATCTTGTTTAGTTTTTGAGTTATTTTGAAAAAAAGGAAATTTTTTTAAAAATTAAAAATAATTTTTTTTTTCATTACTTATTTCAAACTTTTTTTTTTAATTTAGGCATTCTAAACCGGTCAAACTTGCAGAGCCTATTATTAGTACCTAAATAAAGTCAACTGTACATAGATTACGCTTAGTTTCTATTTTTATGGTTCAGCCATAGATTTTATTGTTGATATTTTCTCCGAAAAAAATGAGATGACCATTTTATTTTCATCATAACTCCGCGAGTTTTTGAGCTACGAAATTTTTTCAAAAAGCATTTTAAAGGTTTCTAAAAAGGTTATATTAATTTTCTTCGAAAAATTAGTTCTTTCGCCATTATTTTACGGTAAAAGGTTCAATTTTACTTTCCGAAAAATAAACAATCACCTTCAGAGAGTGATAACTCGGTTATTATTACATCTACGGTAATCAACAAAAAATGAATCGTTATTTCCAAAGCTTTATTTTTGCTTTATATGGGTTTTTCGATAAAATGCAAGGTTTTCGAGCTATTTATCAAAAGTTGTTGAAAACATTCACTTTTTAGATGAAAAATCAACAATTTTCAATCGCGAATAACTCGGAAAATATTAGTTTTTGAAAAAAACGTTATAGAGCATTTTTTGCTTAGAATTCATTCCTCTATTGATTTTTGCGATTAAGATGGGTGCCTTCATTACCATCCCCGAGAAGGAGTGACATAAAGCACACATCGGCACTATGTAATTTTTGTTTCTTGAGCGATTTTCTACTTACTGTTAAAATTTCACGTCAATCGGTGCATGTGTCAAGAATTCGGACCTAAAAACCGTCGTATACTGAACTATATTACTTTTTATTAAATTTAAGTAGTGTGCTTAAAAATGCAAAATTGCATAGCTTTATATTCTTTAGTAAGAACATTCATGTTGGGAGCATTTTTGTACAATTAACTGGGTTAAACAAGTCAAATTATTTAGTAACCTTTTGAATTTTTCAGGTCGCCAAAATGACCTCCCCAGCAATCAACAACGGCAACAACGGCCAGAAGGAAACGTCCAAGACCGACTCCAACGTGACACTGGCCCAGTCCACGTCTAGAACTGAACCGGAAATCAGATCCTCATCACCCCTAACAGCATGGTGGAGAGTATTCAAACTAGTGAACTTACTTATGCAACAAAAATGTTAGGCAATTGAATCCTTCCGAGGGTTTAATCTATAGAAATTCAAATATCAATAATTGTACCGTTTTTGCAAGAAACGAATGCCCTCTTTGCTAGGTAGAAGATGACACAAGTTTAACCCAATGGTCCCTCCTCTCACTCGCCGAACGTATTAATGCATAATCCTTTGCATAATTCAATTTTGCATAAACGGTATAAAAATATACGTTAGAAGAATGTTACATAGTAGGATATTTAGATGAATATGCAATATCTAGAATAATTTTAAATGTTAATTAAAATAATACTAGTCCGAACTATACCGTTATTTTTATTACCTAATATGGATTCTAAGTCTAATGTATTCTTTGTAGTAGATTATGTTAAAGTACATACAAAATATCAACCAATATCGTCCACGTTACCTGTTACATATATCTATACTGAAAATATCTATATCTACAAATACTAAAAGTATGATATACAGGGTGATTTCACTTTAAATACAGAAAGTGCAGGAATAGATTAATTGCCAAAAACTAAATAAACGTTTACAAAAAAAATATACATATATTTCCTGTTCGTGGTTTTAACCAGTGGCGTGCTATTGAAGGTCACCCCATTTTCCCAAAAAAAAATATGCCAGTGGCATTTTTTTTAATAGAAATAACTTTATTTCGGGTGAAAATATCAAAATAAGTAATAAAATGATCTCGTTTTAGTATTTTAACTAGCCTTGTTCATTTATTCCTGAAGCTGCAATCATTCTTGGGCTTATGAACACAAAACGAATTGTGGCAAAGAATAGAGGAAAATTGTAATCTCCTCAGGGAAAATCATGTCATGATAAGTTCCTCTATAAATAGCCTGATTAGAAGATATCAAAAGTGTATCGATGCAGAAGGACTTCATTTTGAACGATTGTGTGGGTTACTTAAAATTATTTCTACAAAAAAACGCCATTGGCGAATTCTTCTCTTGGAAAAAGTAAACAACCGGTTTAGTAGCACGTCACCACGAGGTTAATACTTCATCAATCAAAGGGCTTAATTTATTAGAACACTTCAATAAAAAGCAAAAACAACAAAGAAACACTAATATGGTAAACATTTTTCAATCACTTAATGTAACAGTACCTGAATGTAACATTATTTCTACAAAAAAACGCTAGTGACGTAATTTTTTCTTGGAAAAATGGGACAATACCTTCAGTAGGTTAATATTACATTCAATAAAAAGTATAATTAAGTGAATATGCTGTAATAAATTTCATTCAATTTCGTCAAGGCGTTATGAAAATATAATTTTTTTGGAAACTTTAACACCCTGTATCTCGAATACGACGTCCCCAGGAAAGAAGTTTATAGAGCAAACTCTACTTATTTTTTGGTAATGAATCTATCCCTGCTATTTCTGTATTTAAAGAGAAATCATCCTGTATAATAAAATGTATATTTTTTTGGATAATATTAATTTAATACAAAAGTTGGACTTTGTTGCCATTAATGTAAAATACAATTACAATGCGGCCATTATGATTATAACGGCCCATAAGGATAATACAGGAAGAATGTTATAATTATTGCCTTTATTACACAATATTCCAGAAAAACTATTATAGATACTAGTAGTTTCATTAACTTAATATAAGTTTTAAAATATATTTGGAAAAATATATCATTTTATTCTTATTTTGATTTCTTACTTATTAATTAGCCATAGTTTTAGCCTTCATAACGTTTGTGATATGACTATTATCAACTTATAATGTATTTTTGGTATTAAATGGTTAATTTATTGTTAATAAATGATTAATACCCCTGTTAAACTATTTTCTTTCTTTGTACAATGCGCACAAAATACATTCATATATCCTTTCAAAAAACTCATTTTACTCGTTTTAGACGTTAATCAAGTTAAATATAAACCTAAGATTCTTTAAAAGATGCTTACTTTTTACAGAAACTGGTACATGATTGTACCTCTATGTAAAATATTAAAATGAAAATAAGATATAAAACATAAGTATCTATTTTTATAATATACGATTTTTTCAGAAATGTAAAAGTATAAATTAAATATACATAATTGGGAGTGGGGAACATTTTTTTGCAAGCTTCATCTAGAATATTTAAATGTCTTGAAATAATATTTATTTCAGTTCATGATGGTGGTTTATTTCATTCTCAATCTACAATTATTCTCGTATTTCACTGGAAAACAAATCATTTTCATTCAGTGGAATCACTATATTGGCAATCACAAGCAACATTTTATCCTTGTCAACGTCATCAACCAAATTTCTAGCACTGACTTATCAATACAAGGAATTATGTATGCTCATTTTATTTTTCACATTATAACTCTTTCATAAATACATACAGGGTGTCCGGAAGGGTGGTGTCAAAAATGAAGGAGTATACTGGGGAGGTCAAAATAGTTGTAGTACTTCATAAAAAAAATTTCCTATCATTCTTCGTTGTGGAGTTATTCGCCTTCAAAGAAGTTCCAAAGAAACAAATTCCAATTTTAACTTCTAAGTCGTTACCATGACAACAATGAAATTTGGGCAAATAAAATAACTCGTGGTATGTTCATTTCTAAGTTTAAACTAATATTCAATATGCCTGGATTATACAGGAGCAAACGAAATTATCGATTTAAATTTATACATCTTTGACAGTATTGCCAAATTTGTCATTTTTCTTTCATAGTTCGATTCCTCTCTCACTTTGCTAAAAAGGGATTATACCGTATATCAGTCGATATCTTGTACCGTTTTTGAGAAAATCGAATTTTATTCACAACATACATTTATTGTATCAAAAATGCGATATTAACATTTTTGTAGAAATCTTAGTTTCTATGGAAATTAAGATGACTGTCGACAAGTAAGCATAATTAGCAGTTAAATATTTATCATAAATCATTTTGATACCATTTGTTGATTCAATATCATGGAGGATTTTTGCTATGAAGAATTTGCAGATAACCATCTAATGTACAAACTAGCAAAATGTAGGTAATGCTTCTGAAGCTGTTCGGATTTACGCCATCCGCTTTCCATATAGAATTTGCATATTTAGGGTGACGAAAACCCCCATGCCATTATTTAGACAAAATACCAACAAAAATTTATCATTAATGTATGAATGGGAATAATTGGAAGCTACTTAGTGGGACCACATATCATTGATTACACTTTAAATGAGGATAAATCCTTTCATTNAATAAAAAATAATGTTATTTGTGCTACAGATAATAAGTAAAATAATAAACAAGTAATTCTGTCGAATGAAAATACTTTTCTGTGAAATACGAGAATCAATATGAAATGAAGAACAGTTTTCAAGACCTCTAAAAAATATTTATATTTCCAACTGTATTATAGGTAATTTTGTTTATTGATTTTTTAAGATTATACTTCAGAACATAAAGTAATATACAGGGTGTTCCAATTAAAACCCTTTCTCATCTGGAAAATATTGGAATTAAAAAAAATGAAAAAACCTTAGACTCGTCTATTTTCTTTCCAAGGGGGACATATGACGTCGTAAATTTTGGTATCTTGAAAGCTACCCCTTAATCAAGGGCGTAAAATACCCTTAAACTTTAAATGGCACCCTATGTTGAGTGGCATATCTTTTTAAGGCTTTTTCATTATGCTCACGACGACTTTAAAGAATAAGAAATGAAAGAATGCAATTTTATTAAATTGGTTTCCCTTCGCGTCCATACAATAAAATCTTTGCTCCACTGTCGAACGAATATTTCAAAGAATTTCGGGCGTTATCTGACGAGATTCTTCAACAACTCGCGGACGAAGTCACTATTTATAGTGAAATTTCCCCCACATTCCTCTTAAAAATTAAAATTTAAAAAATCCAAACTAGCCATGCGACCCACCTGTCTCTAGTAATATATTCCGCTGAATCCGAAAATTATAAAAAGAAAAATTTCTGACATTGATGGATTCTCCCCCTCACACCTTCAATTCCCCTCAAAAATTCAAAAAATTCAAACTGGCCATTCAGCCTACCCAGAAAATTTTCCGGCTGAATCCGAAAATGATAAAAAAATTATGACGAATGAATTCCCCTCTGCACACCATCAATTGGGAACTGAGGGTGTGTAGGTGAGAATACATAATACAGAAATTTTTTCTCTTTATCATTTTCGGATTCAGTGGAAAATTTTACCAAAGATGGATGGGTTGGATGGCTAATTTAGATTTTTAATTTTTGAGGGGAATTGAGGATGTGTGGGGAGGGGGGAATCGACACGTCAGAAACATTTTTTATCATTTTCGGATTCAGCGGAAAATTTTAACGATAGGTACGTTTCAAAAATACACGATTTAATTGTGTCAGCCTGTGTAATCAGTCCATTTTAGACTTCATTAGACATAATTATTGATAGGTGATATATCACAACTCATACAGAGATTCAAATATACACATATTTTCCTTAACAAGCACAGCAATGGCAGAAATCGTGAATAGTAAAGCATCGAAAGCTTCGCATTAAATGGAAAGACGTCATCATACCCCTCTTCTTCGGAAATCAAAGTGATGAGTATTGATGGAGCAGTTAAGGGAACATATTGAGTTTTGCGGCATTTTTTTCGTCCCAGAGTCATTGCAAATTTTCTTTTAATAGTATTCTTTCTCTTTGGCACCCCGTGTTTATTTTTACTACAAGAAATAATGTTGTATTTAATAATTTATTTGGAATGTTGGAAATTGAGAAATATAAAATTATTTCGTTATTTTGTAATGGTTATACATTATAAGAGTCTTTAATATATTATAAGTATGTATATACAGGGTGTTCCAGGATTAAGTCGACAAACTTTAAGAAGATATTGCTCATAAAAAAATAAGAAAAAAATCAAGTAAACATTTTTTTCCAGAGACGCTTAATTTTCGAAATATAGGGCGTTAATGATTTTAAATAACTTCTAAATGAAGAAGGCTATTTAAGCCAAATTTGGCATGACACATAAGAAGATGTGTAAAATACCATTTTTCCATAGAAGTAGAAGTCCCGCAAGTAATCAGTGGCGGAGTTATCGGGACTCAGACTCATTAAATTATAAAAAAAATAATACGGCCCTACTGATAATAAAAAATGATGATGTTTTTAGATAGAACAGTTTGTTATTGACAAAAATTATACATTCACTTTTTTCCTAATTCTTATAGTTTCACGGCAAAATTGATTTTTCGGAAGGGTGCTTATGGATTCTGTTGATAAACTTTAAAATAAACCTCAACAAAAATTTTCGAGTAGGCTGCTGTCAAGCAATGCTAATTTGACGTTTTAAATGTTATTTTGCGAATTGTTGCATAAATTATCCATTAGATAAAGCGTCCAAACTAATAATAAAAATAAGTTTAATAATGCCGTCCATATTTTCGAACAATGAATATGCTGATATGGTCTTTGTATATGGTTTTTGTGATGGAAATGCCACGGCGGCTCGTCGTGAATATGCAGTAAGATTTCCCCATTGCATTCTACCAGCAAAGGAAACATTTTCAACGACATTCAGTCGTCTCAGACAAACTGGGTCTTTCGATATGCCAACTTATGCTGATGGACATTTTGCCTCACTTCAGGACGAAGTAAGACCAAATACTATTTTAAACCATTTCCATGAAAATCCATCCACGAGTGTCAGAAGATCTAGCTATGAGCTAGGTATTTCGTGTGCAACATTTATTGCCTAAGGACATACGATGCAGGCGCGTGTTTTGTGATTGGATGTTAAAACCAAACAGAGAATGATGATCAGTTTACGCAAAAAGTAATGTGGACAGATGAGGCAACATTTACTCGAAAGGGAATTTTAAACCAAAGGAACAACCATATTTGGTCCTACGGGAATCCACGGGCGGTAAGGGAACATAGTTTTCAGCATGAATTCCAATGTAACGTATAGTTGGGTGTGTTGGACAACACTATAGTTACTCCCTACTTCCTTCTGCATCGGTTAAATGCTGACATGTTTACCGAGTTCCTTGAAAATGGTTTTCAAGATCTGTTAGAAGATGTTCCGCTTAATACTCGAATGAACAGTTGGTTTCAACTAGATGGTTGTCCTGCCCATTTTGGTAGAGGTCCTAGGGAGTGGTTAAACATTTATTATACCAGGAGATGGATTGGTCGTGGAGGACCTGCAGCGTGGCCCGCACGTTTACCGGACTTGACACCGATGGATTATTTCGTGCTGTTAAACAAAAAGTCTACGAGGTGCCAGTTGATACCGTAGAAGATATAAGACAGCGAATAGTCCAAGCGTGTCGAGAATTAACTCCAATTCAGTGTCGATCGGCCACTACCTCCATAATTAGAAGATGTCGTGCTTATCTACAGTCCGGAGGCGCCCATTTTGAACAAAATATTTTTTAAATCATTTCATTTATGATTCACTTTTCCCTTTGTCTAGGTATAATATTAATTGGTAATTTTTTGGTTGTAAGTAAATGACGTGACTACAAACCGCCTGAAAAAAATTAGGAGTATTGCAAGGGTCGTTACGTTGTCGCATTACGACATAGTCACATTAGATGTTAGGTACTTAAATATTTCTATTGTTTACATCAACATGATTTTTTTTCTAAAAAAACACCCTATATCTCAAAAAGGAACATCTCCTAAATAATTTTAATACTATTGGTTAAACCCAAGGGAAGGGGAAACAAGAAGGCTTATTTGACTCACACATACTCTAGACTAAGACCAATTTTAATAGGTACTATATTTTTTTAGGTTTTATGAGGAACGTTTTCCTAAAGTTTATCGACAGAATCCAGAAGCACCCTTCCGAAAAAATCAATTTTGCCATGAAACTATAAGAGTTAAGAAAAAAAGTGAATGTACACTTTTTGTCAATAACAAACTGTTATATCTAAAAACAGCATCATTTTTTATTTTCAGTAGGGCCGTATTAATTTTTTTATAATTTAATGAGTCTGAGTCCCGATAACTGCGCCACTGATTGCGTGCGGAACTTCTACTTATATGGAAAAATTGTATCTTATAAGAAAATGTGCAATGCCAAATTTGACTTAAATAGCCTTCTTCATTTAGAAGTTATTTAAAAAATTGGAATAATTTTAAAAATCTTTAATGCCCTATATTTCGAAAATGAAACGTCTCTGGAAAAAATGTATACTTGATTTTTTTCTTATTTTTTTTATGAGGAATATCTCCTTAAAGTTTGTCGACTTAATCCTGAAATGTATAGTTAAAGTTAAAGAATTTTAAAAAATATTAAAGATTTTGAATTTTTAACAAATTTATCGTCTTTCCCTCTCAATAATTCTGAATTCGAATCTTGAATAGTTTTGCTTAATCCATATCTTCACCGGAAATGAAAGAATCTTACAAACATTTTAAACACAGAAAAATAACATACAGGGTGGCCAACAAAAACTTACTTTCCCGTAAATTTGTTTTTATAATCTACTGACAGAGAGTGATCTACTAATTTGTAAGTACTATAAAAGCGTGACTAGTGTTACATCAGGAGAAATAAAATTTGTATATAATAATATTGTGGGCGACTCTGCGGACTACAGCCTAGGCCAGCATTGAATTGCACCCCCGCAATATCTAACAAACCAATTGACATGTCTCAATGATTTAAAAAAATCTCTATTCAAAGTTACGAGGAGGGGGGGTAAAATCAGTTTTTATTAAACATTAAACATTTTTAAACTTGCCGTGTGATAAAAGAGCACATATTTGTACAAAAAAGTTATTGTTTTTTATTAAGTCAACCCAGTGGCGTATGAAGAGGCGGATTGGGGGCTCAGATCCTCTCATATACAAAGTATTCTCGTTTCTTTCCTGAGCAATTTGCTTTTTAGTCTCAGCAGGTCCGAGCGCAAATTTATAGTGTCCAGAAACTACGTGCACAAAATTTAGAGGTTGATTTTATAAAAGAAACGGTACAAATTTTTTCACCTTTTTTTGAAAATGAGGTTAATGGATTACATAATTTCAAATTTATTTATACATATACATATACAGGGTGTAACTAAATAAGTGTAAAACATTTAAGGGGGTGATTCCTCATCGAAAAAAAGATAGGATCTTTCATATAAAGAAACTTCATTGGAGCATCCCTTGTTAAGATACAGCCCCTTAAAGGGGGTACATAAAATTTGTTTAACAATTTTTTTCACAAGCACTAAACAAGTTACAATATTGAAATTAACCTGACATTTTCTACTACCAAAAAGACACTTAGCCAGTAATTTATTTGGTTTACCCCATGGTAGTAAGGGGTGGAAAACGCAACCCCTAAAATTTATTTCCAACGTAATTTTTTGTCTTATTATTTTTTTACCATTTAAAAAATTATTTCCGATAGCCTGTTTCATTCTAAAAAAAAATGTCTCTTGAATTTTTTGCCCAAATTAAACCAGTTCGCAGTAAAAAATTATTTTACGAACAACTACAGAGATACATCGTCATAAATGCGGACTGGATTTACTGTTATTTTGTAGTTACTACCTGCATTAAATGATTAAAGGGGAATAATCAAAACTAATTTAATAATAACAAAACATACAACATGTAGAAATCATAGTAAATGTTCAATATGTCTACCTTCAGACATTACGCATGCGTCTAGACGTCGGCGCATTGAGCCACGTATTCGCTCAAATATTCCTGGAGTCTCTCTAATTACCCTGCACGCATCGATAATGCGGTTTCTTAAGTCCTCTACATCGCGAACAGGAGTACGATAAACCAAATGCTGCAAATGGCCCCAAGTAGACAAATCCAGAGGATTGAGATCCGGGGATCGAGCGGGCCAATTCTGTGGTCCTCCTCGACCTATCCACTGATTTGCATATGTTTCAGTTAAATGCTGACGTGCTACTTGACTAAAATGGGCGGGAGCCCCATCATGCATAAAAACCATATCCCTTCTGACGCCCAAAGGAACTTCCTCCAGCAGTACGGGGGGATGCACTTTTCTTAAAAATTGAACGTATGCCTCACCATTTAATCGAGGAGGTAGAAAATGAGGCCCAATTAAATAATCCCCAATAACTCCGACCCACACCTTAAGAGAAAACTGTTCTTGATGGTTAGTTTCGACAATAGCGTGATGGTTTTCATCAGCCCATATGTGGTAATTATGAAAATTAATAATCTTGTCCCGAGAAAAACTACATTCGTCTGTGAATTCGATCGTCTTCAGAAAGTCACGATTTCTTCTAATCATTTCCAGCATCCAATTGCAAAATTCAAGACGGTTCGGAAAGTCTCGCGGTAACAGTGCCTGTACTCGTTGCAGATGGTAAGGGTATAAGAGATGTTCCTTTAAAATTCGAAATACCGTCATATGATCAACATTTAGCTGGAAAGCAATCTTTCTAGTACTGGTAGTAGGTTGTTCTTCTATCAAATTAAGTACTGCTGCCTCAAGCTGTGGTGTTCTTACTTCTCGATGGCGACCACAATCCTGCGTTCTTTTGTTGAATGAACCATATTCACGTAATCGTTGATGAAGTCAGACAAATATTCTATGTGAAGGATGCTGCCGTTGAGGATACATTTCAGCATATCTTGTAGAAGCTTCTAACCCATTCCCCTGCGACAGACCGTAAACGTAATGCATATCAGCCATTTCCTCATTTGTGTATGCCATTTTAATAACAAGTGAATTATT